TTACATTGAGGGTTCCATGTGAGGGCTTGTCTCGTGACGCAGTTAGGTGCTTTTCGTAGTGTGTGTCCTATCCACTTCCGTCGCCTCTTCCTGATTTCCTCCTCCACTTCAATCTGGTTTGTTTTCTCCCACAGTACGTTGTTGCTGATGATGTCTGACCAACGAACCCGAAGTGTGTTGCGTAGACAACTGTTAATAAACACTTGTATCTTGTGGATGATGGCTTTGGTAGTTCTCCAGAGTTCGAAATACAGTGATAGATTTGTAGAGAATAACAGAATTTCACAATGTTCAGTTGTTTTTAAGCAGTTATCGATCGATATTGTTAAATCGACGCAGTACCATATTACCACCAGCTGATTGATGAAGCTAGAATTGTACAACATTAGAGTTCACCTCAAACTGCATCACTGAAATCAATCAATCATTTTCGATCAAATCTGATTAGACATTCGTTGACTCAGAAAATAATTCAGAAAACACACATTATTTATCTTTAAAAAATATATTTCCAAGAATTTGCTATCAAGATTCATTTCTATCTTCCAAGTCAGTTGAAATATGTCTGAAAATAAAAATCATAAAGATGTTCTCACTAGCGGTTAGCTTCATGAAGGAATTTTCGCAGTTCTAGTGAGAAGTAGTGACCACTGGACTTCAACCCTATTGAATGGGAGGCAGTTATTCACTAAAGATGACAATGTGTTAGGGACGTTAGATCTCAAGAATTCACTTGATAAATGTCCTAATTTTGGATTTTAAAATTTCAAACATAGGCTGATCATCTGACCTTGAGAATACATTTCCCACTCCGAAAATCCTTGGCTGTTATTGACTGATGTATTATTTTAGAACTTCATTTTGGAGCTCTTCCAAGAACGTTTCAATCATCTTTAAATAAACTCGATTTGTGTGCTTGTGAACATCATATTTTCCGGGTGCATGTAGAAAACACTTGCTACGCCTCTAATTAGTGGGGCCTTGGTACGCTCAGATTAGAGTAGCTTATCGCATCACAGGATCATTTGTCTTCGCTTTCGTGTACCGACTAAGGTGAACTCGTAATAGCATTCAAGCATATCAGCTGACGAGCATAACGCAATGAGTATTTGATTGAAGTTAGAGATTAACACCGTTTGGTGCCAGCTCAGTGGACAAAAAGGTTAAGTGTTCACGTACAGCACTGAAGGTCCTTGGTAAGACTTTTGCATGTTGACCAGTCTTATACCTGGACGAAATGACCGCCTTTCATTGCTTCCACATTTCTTATGGTGGCCTTTGTAATTTATGATACTTAGTTCAATTAGACTACAAGAACAATATCTCTCAGATTTCAAAACTTCTCAGATGTTAAAGATTCATAATTTCTACTACAAGTGAAATGAATATTTTCATATAAATGAAACATTATATATGTCAACTATGTGCTTTGTGAGAATTTAAATTATGACACCAACAATCTGACAATAAATCTTAGAAACTTTATCAATATTGGACAGAATGATCAATACTAATCTAATTTAGTTATGTGTCATATATTTTAAAAAAATATATATATATAAATACCGAAAATATCTATTACACATAAGATTCATAATTCATAATTTTGGTAAGATATTAAATTTCATTACATGATTGGTTTTTCAATGAGTTCTGAAGATCATTGTTTTTACCCAGTGAGATCATGAATCAATCATGGTTAGACCACCATTAGAAGCCTGGTAGCATTGAAAGACTACCGTTTCGTCCTGGTATGGGAATCATCAACAGTGTGTGTACACTACGCCAAGAAACAGAAATTGAACCTAGGATCTTTTGTTTCGTTCACAAACACCTCACGTATTTGTCTTCAGTAGTAGCAGTATGGAGCGGAAACTTGGAGAAATTCCAAAGCCATCATACATACATACAAGTATTTATTAACAGTCGTCTACGCGAAATACTTCGGATTCGTTGGCCAGACACCATCAGCAACAACATACTGTGGTAGAGAACAAACCGGATTCCAGTGGAGGAGGAAATCAGGAAGAAGTGGTGGAAGTGGATAGGACACACATTATGAAAAGCACCTAACTGCGTCACAAGAGAAGCCCTCATATGGAACCCTCAAGGCAAAAGGAAAAGAGGCAGGCCAAGGAACACACTACGCCGAGAAATAGAGAAAGATATGAGAGGAATGAACAAACATTGGACAGAACTGGAGAGGGAAGCTGAGGACAGAGTTGTTTGGAGAAAACTGGTGGGCGACCTATGCTTCATTGAGGGTAACAGGCGTAAGTAATTAAGTGAGTAAGTAAGTGCATAAGTAAGTAAGTAGGTAAGTAAGTTAATGCCTACATCCGACACGTGGTCGAACACCACTGGTCGCATCTTCTCACGCACAAACTCCGTGAGTTGATCAAAGCTAGGCACTAACACCATCGGATGCCAGCCCAGTGATCCAGAAGTTGGGCATTCTCGCGCAAAACCGAAGGTTCTGCCTTCGAATCCTGTGAGTATCAGGATTCGTGGATGCGCACTGCTGATGAGTCACATACTGTGACGAATTAGTCATCCAGTTCTTCCATGTTTCTAACGATAGTCTAACAATGATATATTTTTATGATGTCAGTGCGTGCCTTATAGGCGTGTTTTGAAATATTTTCAAGAATCTATGTGTTTTTATTTTATTATTTACTAACTTCATTGCTTTCCTATTAAAGATTTTGTTTTTTTTTACTACAGAATAAAATATGCTTTATTCCATTATTTCACTTGCCGTGTTATTCGAATTGTCAATAGCTAAAGATATTGATATCTTTAAATTACCCTTTGTGATCAGTAGAAGAGGTAAGATCGCCAGTGTGTTTGTTTACATTAATCAGGTTAATCAAATTCTTGATGTCAGTTTTCACATTAAATGTTTCACTTAATAATTTTTATATGCTTTGAACATGAAGCCTGGAGTGATAAATAAGAATTTACAACAATTGATTTCCGATCAAGTCGATTGGTAGTACCCTTATAGTTAGTTAATAACTACCACCTAGTTGAATAATTCATATTCCTTAACGATCAGTATTGAAATGTTTTATCTTTTGATAAAACTGAAAAAGTTTTGGTATGAATACAAATCTATCTAAAGTTCACTTTTATGCAAACTAATTAAGGAATAAAATTCAGAAATACAGAAAATACGATTTGTGGTGTGAGCTACTCATAAGTAGTATATGACGTAAGTGTCAACCTAATGTCTGGCAGCAGAAGATGGGAGAAGATCAAGAAAGGAAGAGTTAGAAGAACACAATGGAATTTGTATGAAACGCATGAATAGTGACAATGGATTGATGTTGTGTTTGCAACAGGAACAGTCTAGTTCGATATGATGAACTGATATTTTGCAAATTAACGATTTACGATATGGTTTTCCGATTTTACTGAGTAACTCTGAACATTGTACATGTTCAGTTATTCATTTGACTCTACATTTATAGGCATTCATTTTCATTATGAGTTATATAGAGTTTTAAGACTTTTTAAAACATCAACTGGAAAATTGATTCCTATTTACACCATCGTCAACACAAACTTTACACCGGATGATTATAATTCGATAATTTTAATTGAAATTAGATTCTCAAAAGTAAATACATTGATAGAATTTCATTCTCAACATACTTTCTTAGTTCAGCATTAAATTGTTAAATTTTATGTGTAGATTTGTTATGCTGGTCACCGATTGATATGCTTGAATGATATTAATAGTTCACCTTAGTCGGTTAACGAGAGCGAAGACAAATGATCCGATGACACGATAGGCTACTCTAATCTGAGTGTCCCAAGGCCTTACTAAGTAGAGGAAGAGGTCTTCATATGGCGTAGAAAGTGTATTCTACAAGCGACCAGAAAATATGATGTTTACAAGTACACAAATCGATTTCATTTATACAAGACAGAAGCGTCCTTGGGAGAGCCACAAAAATAGCGTACTAAAATAATACATCAATCAATAACAGTCAAGAAATTTTCCGGGGTGGGAAATGTAATCTCAAGGTCAATTGATTGACCCATGCTCGAAAACATAAAATCCAAAATTGGGACCTTAATCAAGTGAGTTCTGGAGATCTAACATCCTCAACAAAACTGACCTTCGAAATTACCAGGTCATGTAACTAATGTCTCAAAATCGTTTACAACGGCACAAATGCATCCACTCTTTGTGTTCTCTGAAATTTTGATCTTCTGAATTCCTCATCACTTCTCTCTTTCTCTTTTGAAATTTATATTACTGAATTGTACTTCTTCAATAGCATCTTTGTTACGCCTACACGCAAACACGTCAACTTGATTGACTTGAACTATTGCGAGTTTACCTAGTCGGAAAACAAGAGTGAGGATCGAGGATCCGGCGACAAGACATGTTAGTCTAATCCGATTATCCCAAACCCCATATTCAGTGAAAATAAGAAGACATGATATGAAGTAGAACCTGTATTCTGCAAGCATCCAGAAAGTACGTGATCCGAATCCAGAAGAGAATCAGGATCCCGGACCAGGGATCCGGGACCGAGTCCTGGCCTTGGTCATAGAACGTTACAGATAATGCGTACATATACATTTAGGTTGAATAGGAAACAGCATCGAATTATGTGACATTGACAGTGAAGACGACCAATAGGAAGTAACATTTGAAGTGACAGTGATAGTCAGGACAACCAATAAGAGCACGACCATAAAATTGACCAGTAGGAATTGACCAATAGGAATAGACCAATAATTCTCTTAGGATATTGGATGAATGTTCTAACAATCTTCGAACCCTAATCTTCTCCATTACCTCTAATACTTCTACTACGTATATTGACAATTCGATCTTTGTGCGCTAATATGGTATGGCAACCTCAAATGATGTACATACGTACGAAATTCTACTTTGTAACTAACTGACTAATTGACTTACCTAATAATTACTGTAATTTTACTTAATTAGACTAATTATTTTTATTATTTATTTAGGTGAAATGATTATTACAGATCATGAAGAAAAAATGTCATTAAGTTCAGATTTCTTACTTACTCATAAAGATATAATGTGTACAACAAAAATTGATTTAAAAAAACCAACTGAAACAGAAATCAAAGCAAAATCTGGTACTCGTAAAGTATTATTGTAAGTTAATTTGAATTTACAAACTTTCAGTGTAATTTATTCAGTTATTAATACAAAGTAACTAACATTTTACTCTGGTGAAGTTTCATTCTCTGAGCTGAACGTCCATTTGGTTGTGAAGCTTTCATTGTTCTTCTACGGAATACAACATCATTATCAGCATAAAATTCTAATAGAAGAAGTGAAGAGTATCCGAATTTCTTCACGTTCTATTCGAAGCTGATTCGGGTAACCTTGATCTCGATAGGTTGTTATTTATCTTAAACCTGTCATTGTTTGCACCTTAATTTTGATTGTATCCCCTATTGATTTTTCTGACTGGTTGATAAGTTTCTAGAAGCTTGGCACTCAGGTCAATCGGTGATCAGCAAACACATCGACATTAATCCAATTTATCAACTAATCAGAAAAAATCATAGGCAAACAAAACATCAAGTGACAAATCATAATGAGGTTACAATCAAAATTAAATTGCAAACAACGACAGGTTCAAGGTCAATAACAACCAATCAAAGTTAACAGAACAAGCTACTAGTCATTCACTTGGACAAATTTGAATAATTCACACCTACCGTGAAGTTTTCACTGATTATATTGTGTTCAGAAGACGCCCGATGCAAGCTCCACAATCAAAACAACATTCAATTCGGAGAACAAAACTCCGACCTAATAATCATCCATCTAAGCAACAAATGTTCTTCACCATCATTTCATAACTTTTTACTTTTGAATTTTTTTATACTTCAGAGACTGTAAAGAAGAGCCTAAACGTGGGAAACAAAGAAGAGAAGTACGGAAACCAACTGTAAAGAAATAAAAAAACTCTATAACGAATTAGTTTATTTTGTTGTTCATTCAAATTATTGTTTGTTTAAATTGAATAAACTAATTTGTCAGATGATAATTTCCAAAGTATCATTTAAGACCTATGTGGTACCCTGAAACATTTTCAGCGGAGTTGGTTGAAATGTGTTATGTATGCTCAATTATTATTGCTTACCTCAATGGGCTATGCTGTCTAGTGTAAACGTAAGCTGGTGAGATGGCTAAAGTGAGCGTTCCAACTAAAACGTGCCACTAGTTCATGAAGCTATTGACAAATGAACTGAGCTACATTTTATAGCTGTCGACTACTTCGTTAGGTTCCGTGTGATAATCGTAACCAGTGGTTAGAGATTTTAAATGACATGGCTGAAAATTGTTTGCAACTTATCTTCGATACTAATACTGTTGCTACTTCTTGTACTCTGAGATTCAGCCGATCAGTTTTGTTTCTCTATGTTAGTCGAGTCATGGCAGCTTGAACTGATGTTCATGCATACCAAGTTCTATGTTGTAGCTGATTACTGACTAGCTGGCTGTAAACTATGTATTTGTGAGATAACCAGAGGAATGATAGAGTGATTATAGAGATAAGATTCTTGGCGTTGTATTCCTTTTTGGGTTGTAGAGTCTATTATGGTTCGTGTCACTGGATAATGGATGAATGCAGGTGATTGATATATACGTGTTAGGATATTCATCCAATATCCTAAGAGAATGATTGGTCTATTCCTATTGGTTAATTCCTACTGGTCAATTTTATGGTCGTCCTAGAAATCAATTTCACGTGCTCCGATGTTGTTTCTTATTGGTTGTCCTGACTATTAGTGTCACTTCAAATGTTGCTTCCTATTAGTCATCCTAATTGTCAATGTCACAGAATTCGATGCTGTTTCCTATTCAACCTAAATGTATATGTACGCATTATCTGTAACGTTCTATGACCAGGATAAGGACCCGGACCCGGATCCCTAGTCCGAGATCACGATTCTCTTCTGGATCCGGACCTCGTACTTTCTGGATGCTTGTAGAATACAGGTTCTACTTCACATTCAAGTCTTCTTATTTTCACTGAATATGGGGGTTGTGATAATCGGATTTGAGTAGCATGTCGTGTCGCCGGATCCTCGATCCTCACTCTCGTTTTCCGACTAGGTGAACTCGCACTAGTGCAAGCATATCAAGTTGATGTGTTTACGTTCAGGAGTAACAATACAAAAAAACATGAGTGTATCTTTGAGTGACTAGCTATGAGCTCTAAGTTTTTAATCGCAATACCTATTGACTGTAGTTATCAAACGATGTTTAAGACCTATAAATATTATTCAAAATGATATATGTGCATATCTGAATAAGAGGAACATAGCTAACGTTATTATTTCTTCTGGTTAGCGTTTTTTTGGCAAGTTCGTTTTTGACGGGATAGAGTCGTCAACCCCACGCCCAATGCTCCTCCTTTATCCGGGCTTGGGACCGGCAGTAGCCCCGAAGGGTCTATAGGTGAAGTTAGAAATATGGAACGCTTCACGATTTTGCGTTTCATCCTTGCACAGGGGCCATGCTAATCTTCTCTGTATTGTTCCAACTTTAGTATGTGTACCTCCGAAGCGAGTATATACTCTTTATCATCAATTGGCTGCAGATGTCGTGACTAGAAGTTTTAGTGAAAACGACTCACAATAACAAGGCTAATGAACGAAATAAAGCGATGTAGATTGTTAAGTCTTATTTGTAACCATGAATCAACCAATGTTAGACCACCATTAGAAATCCGCAAGCACTGGATGGCCGTTTCATACTGATGTGGGAGATCATTAGCAGTGCGCACCTACAACTACTGCACCCTGCAGGGTTCGAACCCAGGGCCCTCGGTGTTCTGCGCAAACACCCTAACCGCTAGACCACTGAGCCGACACCTAACGATGTTAATGTCTAACTTGATCAAATTCACGAAGGAAACGAGAGATGAATATATATGGTTTGATAACACAATGGTGACTTCAGTTACGTGGATGAGAATACAAATAACAATCTGTGACCTCTGCTCGCGAGAATAGACCTCTGGTTTCATGTGCCAACGCTTAATCTCTAGACCACTGAGCCGGTAGCCAACAGTATTAATGTCTAACTATGGTTTTTGCATGACCTCACCCATTGTTCTCGGGTAGTCACTGTCTACACTTAACAAGGTTAAACTCCACTAGTCACTGGGTGTGGATGAGTTCCATACTGGGATGAAACAACCGTCTTTCAGTGGCTCCAGGTTTTTAACAATGACTGATTCATGATTTTAATTAAAAACAACAATTTTCAAAACTCTTTTATCAAAATCTTACTTTAATTATAACAAAGTTTTAAAGAGTTAGGTGCAAAAGTATTTGAGGAACTTATATTTCAAACATTCAATACAACAAGAGAATAATTAAAGGGTAAGAGAAATATATTTGAATTGGAGTAGTAGACGTCGCCAGCTAGAATGCTAATGACCATTGTAATGTTGATCACTGTCTAGCCCAGTGACTTGCTTACTTACTTTAGCCTGTTAACCCCCCTCCCCCACCAGTGGAGTGTACGCCGCCCATCAGCACTATTCAGTCTACCCTATCCTCGTACTTCCTTCCAAGTTCCAGCTAATTTTCGTTCATTCTTCGCATATCCGTCGCCGATTCTCAACATAATGTGTCATCTGGTCTCCCTCAGATCCCTTGGCCTTCAGGAACCTGAGTTAAGGCTTGTCTTGGGACGCGATTGGGTTTAATAAAGGTTTATGAATTATTTTGTGGAGAGAATTTTAATTCTATCTATGTTAAAAAGTAGGTTGTTATTACAATAATATTAAATAAAACGATTCACATTCCATACCATTATCACGATGTTATGGAATTGTTGGGGACGTTAAATGCCCAGAACTCACTTGGAAAAACTCCTAATTTTGGATTTTTTATGTTTTGGCGCATAAGCTGCATAGTTGATCTTCAGATCACATTTCCCACCACCGGAGAATCCTTAATTGTTATTGGTTGATGGATTATTGTAGCACGCTAACTTTATGGCTCTCCCAAGGAAGTTTCTGTCATGTATAAATAAACTCGATTTGTTTGCTTGTAGAAAACACAATCTAAGCCATATCAATACTTCTTGATATAGTTTTAGCCAGATCAGGGATCAACGGATTAGAATAGTCTATCGTATCACTGGATCATTTGTCTTCGCTCTCGTTAACGGAGTATGGTGAACTTGTAATAGGATTCAAGCATATCAGTTGATGAGCATGTCAGGAATAAAATGTATCTATCATTCTAGTGTATGAATTCTATTGGAAGAAATTAGAAAGAGTCAAACAATGTTGTCATATAATCTGAAAGGAGATTGTATATGACAGGATGTTATAAATTATATTGTGGTAGTGTGGTGTGTGCTACTTATACGAACGATATAAGTAGTATAAGAATGGACGTGAAAGAAGAAGTCTCACGGTCAGAAGAGGAAAACGGAAAGCAAATAGAGCAAAAGCAAGAAAGAAATAGAGCACCGACAGGAAGTAAAGGAAGCAACAACAGGAATGGAAGAAGGATGGAGCGTTGGAAGTCACAACTCAAAGATGGTGTGCAAATGGAGTATTCAATGTAACGTTATCGTTTTTAATTGACTAAGAGTGTAAATTTGCCATATACAATCTATTGAGCCTACTAAGAGGCAGGGCGAGGGCGGTGTACGATAGTGTGGAGGACGCTGACTGGAGGGCGGTGACGGAAAGGCTGCTGTTGGATGGTGTGCAAATGGAGTGTTCAATGTAATGTTATCGTTTTTAATTGACTAAGAGTGTAAATTTGCCAAATACAATCTATTGAACCTTCCTCAGTCTTCTCAGTAGGTCAAACGTGGAGAAATTTGAATGCTTCACTTCTATTTGAAGTTTGTGCCTGTGATGTTGTTCCGAATTACAATGAAAGGTTCACAGTGAAAAAAAAAATCAAGCTCAGAGAATGAAACACCACTACAATCATCCACCTGAGCTACAAATTTTCTCTACCATCTCATAAATTATGTTGCTTATTATTACTCAACACATCTCATCTGTATTTAATTTTATTTTTTGTGAACTATTTGGATTTATGCAACTAATGCAGACCGCACCAGGCTTCACACTGTACTTACTTACATTTCTCAAGTATTCTGAATTGCAGTACAGTCTTGATATGCATATAATTCTTCTCCAGTTACAAAAATTAACGTTTTTTTCACAACACTACTTTGAACGCATTTAAGTAGTCATAATTCTGCAAAAAACAAGTAAACTATCATCCTACAAATTCGTGTAAATCGTTAGTGTCAGAAAATGACTGAATCGAGATTTTGTTATGGTTGAATTGATTTATTCAAGTATGTGTTTAGAAAGAATATGTCAATTGATTTAGTTATTATATAAGAACTTTTTAGCTGATTAGATAATTGAAGTGTAATCATACTTAATGCAGTCAGTGTGATTGATAATGAGGTTGTTTTGACTGTAAAAGCAAAACTAATAGTCGATAATTTATGAATTAAAATTTATTGAGATCATGAATAGGCTGAAGTTTTACAATCATGAGAAAACTGTGAAAGTAAAATGTTTTTCTTCCCATTGTGTAGATCTTCAATACTTCTAATCTATGACCCATCTATAATAATCTTCTGTCTCTTGTGTGATAATGTCTAATCATAAAATCACAAGGTCAGGATCAAATGATGTGCGAAACTTAGTTTCAATCAATTCATTTCACAACAGTAAGTGATATTCTTTCAATGTTGAACAATCGACACGGTTTAATCCCATTGGTTCACTCACACGTAATCAGGAATGATCAATCAATATGGCGTAGTAAAGAATGTTCATTTTTAATATTTATTTGTTTGAATCAATAATACTCTTTCTTCAATGATGATCATTGATTGGCTGAATGAAATGTCTAAATATCAATTGTTGAAGACTTAATCTATTTCATGTCCTAGTAATCATGAACCAACCATTTAACAAGCACAACAAAAAAACCAAATTCTGCTAATCACGCATTATAACATTGATAGAAAAAATATTCATTTACTGTCCTGAAAATAATCACTCTGTAAAACTTATGCTTTTATACTATTTGATAGTAATCAATAAAACAAGATTTGACCAGCAAGTAATTGGATTCAGAAAAAATATTTGTGAAGTTTTAATAGTTTAATGAAAAGACTCAACTGATTTATAAAATGTATGATATCAGCTGTAAACATTCGCTTGAATAAATTGGATCACACATATTTATTGAAATGAAAGTTAATTTTGATCAATTTTGTAAAAGGTCGGATACATATGAAGGAAACGAGTACCATGTAAGGAATGCAGATCAATAGATGAAGTAGTGAAACTTTATCAGTCAAGGTAGTTGGGACAAGTGTTACATATGACCAACCGCCGAATACCTCGATGAGCAATGTTTTGTGGTGTAGGAGGGGTAGGCTGGAGGAAAGTTAAGTGGTGGCCAGACTACAACATGGCACGAATCCATGAAGTCACTGACAATTGAACTGAGCCGTGTTAGTAGATGTAGTCTACCTAGCTGGGGTCAGCGTGAAGAAAGTCATCGATGGTTAGAGAACTTGAATGATTGGGCCGAAAATCATTTGCAATAGCAAAGTAGCATCTATGCTTTGTGTTTTCTCAAATTCTAATCTTCTGAATTCCTCATGACCATCATCCTGATCTTCTCCAATTTATTTCGCTGAACCATACTTCCTAAATTACATCTTCAAACCCTAATCTTCTGCATTACCGTTAATACTTCTACTGTTGGATTTGAACTGACAATTACATCTCTGTGCTAATGTGGTATGGCAACATGAACTAATGTTTGAAGTTCTACTTTGTAGCTGACTGACTGAATGAAGGAAATGAGGTAAAAAAACGAAAACAGATATACAGTTTTATTTTGTTACACATAATTCACAATTCGTGATTTGATAGTTGAAATCAAATCGATTTCAAACGATCTATTGCACACTTTGCCTACGGTTCATGATCTCATCTTCTAACTTTAGCCGAATCTTTGAGAATCCGGTACTTATAATCCTGGTTTATGTGTGAGGAGCAGATAAGCGGTATTGTTGTCATATTCTGTCTTTTCACCTCCCGTTCATATTCCTCACTATTTAACTATTTACACACAGTTCCTGATAATGTTTTATTGTGTTTTTAAAGTCTACTACTTCCAATGTTGAACCGGTGACTAGAACCTTTATCACTGTATAATTCTTGTTGCTAAATACTTACTTACGCCTGTTATCCCCCAATGGAGAATAGGCTGGTCACCAGTATTCCCCAGCCTACTGTCTTCTGGTGTTTTGCTTTTTAGTTCTGTCTAACTGTTGTTCAATCTTCTCATGTCTGTCTCCGTTTCTTGGCGTAATGTGTTCCTTGATCCTTCTCTTTTCCGTTGGCCTTGATGATTCCAGATGAGAGCTTGTCTTGTGATTTAGTTAGTTGGGTGATTTCTTTAATATAGGTCCTATCCATTTCCAGCGTTTCATAGTGATTTCTTCCTCTGCCGCAGTCTGGTTTGTTCTCTCTCATAGTAGGTTGTTACTGATAGTGTCTGGTCAACGGATTTAATCTCTACTAGTTCACCTATTTTCTTACTAACAGCTTATACTTTGCCCTCATTACGTATAGCTACTTAATCTACTGTATTGTGATTAGTGACCGGTGAGAACCGATTTTATTTGGTTAGATACTTTCACATAAATCTGCTCGTATAATCGAATGGAGCCTGATTACGATCAAATCGACAACGATGTTTCTTGCTTATATGTGTTATTCCAACAATTAGATAACTTGATGAGAATAAGAAGTTATTACATCACCTTAGGACTTGAAATAGATTACAGAATACCAGAGCAAATTCAAAGTTGCTATAAACTTAGAAATATACCCTTCAAAATTTCTATACCGCGCTGTAAAGGTCAATTTAAAGTTGGTCCGTCGAGATGCTTCAAATCTGTTTTGCTGTTAAGGATGATGTATATATATTAAGTCTGAATCGTTAAGACGAATTCAGTGACTGCAGACATTTTCAAACATGACAGTTTCACTTGAAATTCAAACGTAACTCTTCGCCGAACTTCTGAATCTAAAAAACATGACATCAGATAATGGATGCATAAAAGACCTATTTATGTTACAAACACTCAACTAGGCGTCATCACTAATACATTTCCCCGTTTGTAATCTCTTGAAATTGTCATCATATATTTGAAAACTTTTCACAAGATAAGAGTTTTTTAAGTAAACATTGAGTTGAAACGTTTGATTTATCGATTAATTAGACCATTACTCTTGATAAATTTGTTGATTAAAAATATTGACCTGATTAATGATGAGAGTGATTATTTTCAATTGTAGTTAACTGATCACAACTTTACTAAATATCTATATCCATTTTCAGTATACACAACCTCCATGAAATTCTTGATGGTAAAAGCCATTATTTAGTATCATCGAAGGAGTGGTTTTTTGTATGGCAACCTGAATTGATGTATGTACGTATTTACGAAGTTTTAAGTTGTAACTGACTGACTAAAGGACTGGTTTTGAATATTTTACGGTCTTGATAATGTAAATATAATGGGGAGGTGTTTGGATCCGTTGGCCAGACACCATTAACAACGACTGATTATGGTAGAGAACAAATCACAGTCCAGTTTAAGAAGAAATTAGGAATATACATTGAGTAATGCACCCGACTGCATCACGGGGGAAGCCTTAACTAGAAATCCTCAGTGCCAAAGAGGAAAAGAAGAAGACCAGAGAAAACTTTACTCGGGGAATAGGAAGCACACGTGAAAATAATAAACATCGATGGAGTAGAACTTGAAAGGAAGGCTCAGTACAGAGTAGCTTGGACGGCAACCGACGATCCATTAGGAGTAACAGCAGTATGTAAGTAGGTAAGCAAAAACATAACTGTTAAAAATCTCTCTTAAAAAACTCAGCTATTCCTATTGCCTAGTATTCTCTGACAACAATACACTCGACAAGTCCTCAAATCAGAACACAGGTGAACAGGAAAGATTTATATTGCAAATAGTAAGGTGAAATGGAAGTACGAGGCCGAAGCGAAGGCGAAATAGAAAAAACGTTAGTATCTTTACAGTTATTACATGAGAAACTTCTGGAATCAAATCCGCGTGATCGATTAGATTTAGCCAATCAGAGTGCTGCTAACAACACGAGTATCAATTTCCCAGTAGTAATTTCCGTTGTTATAGTATTATTATGCTCGTCAACTGATATGCTTGAATGCTATTAAGAGTTCATCTTAGTTCGTGAGCGAGAGCAAAGACAAATGATCCAGTGATACGACAGTCTACTCTAATCTGAGTATCACAAGGCCCCATTAAGTAGAGGAAGAAGTCTTGAAAAGACGTAGAAATTGTATTCTACAAGCAACCACAAAATATGAAGTTTACAAGTACACAAATTGAGTTTATTTATACATGATAGAAAGGTCCTTGGGAGAGCAACAAAAATAGCTTACTAAAATAACGCATCAATCAATAACAGTCAAGAAATTTTCCGGGGTGGGAAATGTAATCTCCAAGTCAACTGATCAGCTCATGTGCGACAACATAAAATTCAAAATCATGACTCTTATCAAGTGAGTTCTGGGGGATTTAACGTCTTCAACATGAGATTATATCTTATTAAAAAGTCCTGATGAACATATTTATGTACTATACTCTATTTTACTTGAAATCTATCTAGTTACACTAGGCAAAACTCATTAAAAATAATAATTACTTAATTTCATCTATTAAACAACATTAATGTTCATTCAATTAAAAGCAAAGCCAAACATAACTGAGACAATTTCAAAAACGACAAACCAGTTCAATCTCTCTAAAAAGCTAAAAAAAAAAGTCACACAACCAGCAGAAAATTATCATTTAAAATAAATTAAGCCACCAGCTTGGGAATCGTATTTTCTTGCGTAATTTCGGCATGAACCAACTTTGACATAGTCTGAAATGAAATGAAGAATTTAACCGAAAAAAAATAAGTAAATCACAATGAGTTTTCTATTTATGTATAACTAACTATACATTGAACCATTGGTTTATCAATGTCGGGAATGTTAAAACCCCCCAGAACTCGCTTGATGAAAAATCTTTATTTTGGATTTATTTCATGGACCGTTCAGTTGACCTTGAGATCACATTTCAATACCAGGAAAATCCTTGACTGTGATTGGTTACTGTGTCATTTTTTGTGTGCTATTTTTGTGACTGTCCCAAGGACGTCTCTATGGCGTGTAAATAAACGCAATTTGAATGCTTGATTTCATTGTGGGCTGGCTGGCTGTTTGTAGAATACAATTTCTACACTATATCAAGACATCTTGCTGTTACAATTCGGACAATCGGATCACTGTAGCCTACCTGGACGCTTGTTTATTGTTTTTTCCTCATTATTCGTCTAAGGTGAACCCGTAATAGTTTTAAGCATACCTAGAGACGAGCTTAAAAATCTATTACTGAGAAGTTTGAACGGGAGAAAATGTTCTTATCCCAAATATCTTTGAAGCGTTTCATTTGAAATATCCAGGAAATTTTTGACAGATTATCTGTTCTACTGTTGACTGGAGTTATTCTGTCTGATACTTATATATATATATTATTTATTAAAGTTTACACTCAAAGTATTCTATTTATGGGAATGTGAAATTCTTCATTGAAAATAAAAGGTAATGAATTACGTTTGATAATTATTACTAGTCAAATTTCTGACTAGTTAATAATTTAACAATTGAGTTGTGCTAAGTTATGCAATGCAGTCTAGCTCTTTCTTACACTGAAAACAAATCTAGATATCATTTAAATAGAGATACTAGATTCATTTCCTACTGTGGAAGAGCACGAACCAGATTCTAGTAGAGAAATAAATCAGGAAGAACCGCTGGAAGTGTATAGGACACACGTTGTGGAAGGCGCCTAACTGCATCTGAAAGTAAGCTCTAACTCAAACTACTCAACGTCAAAGGAAAAGAAGAATACCAAAAAACACGATTCGCTGATAATTGGAGACAGACATGAGAAGAATCAAGAACAATTGGATAGAACTTGAAGGGAAGGTCCAGTACATAGAAAGCTGGAGACTGCTGTTCGGTGACCTATTCTCCGTTTGAGAGGTAAAAGACATAAGTAGGTAAGTAAGTAAGTAAGTAAGTGCATAAGTAAGTAAGTGCATAAGTAAGTAAGTGCATAAGTAAGTAAGTAAGTAAGTAAGTAAGTAAGTAAGTAAGTAAGTAAGTAAGTAAGTAAGTAAGTAAGTAAGTTAGTGAGTAAGTAAGTAAGTAAGTAAGTAAGTAAGTAAGTAAGTTAGTGAGTAAGTAAGTAAGTAAGTAAGTAAGTAAGTAAGTAAGTAAGTAAGTAAGTAAGTAAGTAAGTAAGTAAGTAAGTAAGTAAGTAAGTAAGTAAGTAAGTAAGTAAGTAAGTAAGTATATTCATTATTATACTTATTTACTTACTGAATCTCTTACGTTTGTTAACGCTCAGTGGAGCATAGGCCACCGACCAGAATTCTCCAACCTTACTCTGTCCTGGAACTTATTTTCATGTTTTGTCCAACTGGCATTCATACTTCTCATATCTGTCTCTATTTCTCGGCGTAATATGTTCCTTTACCTTCTTCTTTTCCTTTGATCTCGAGGTTTTCAAGTGAGGGCTTGTCGTGCAATGCATTTGCTTGTTTTCGGCAGTGTGTCCTATCCACTTCTAGCGTTCCTTCTGATTGCTTCGTCTGCTAGTTTGCTCTTATCCACATTAGGTTGTTGCTGATTGTGTGTGGCCAGCGAATCCGAAGTACCTTACGTAGACAACTGTTAATGAACACTTATATCTTCCGGATGATGAGTTTCGTAGTTCTCAAAGTTTCCTCCTCATACAGTAGAACTGTCTTGACATTTGTATTGAAAGACTGTTTTTTTTTCAGTTCTAGACTTTCTTCGATTGTAGGAATGCACCCTTTGCATTACAGATCCATGCGTTCACATTTTTATACTTACACAGTGTCATTTTCAACATTCTATACATATTTCACTTATTTGATTGTAATAGTTTATAGCATGTATACCAAATATGTTGAGCCCATTCGGTTTGTCTGAATTTTTCGGATCAATTAATTAACTTGTTTCTGCCTAAGTTATTGGTCGCATATATTTTGTCCTTGTCACTTATCCTCTCTAATAACCTTGGTTGTTTTTACTTGAGTGCAATGCTTACTTACTTACTTACTTACTTACTTACGCCTGTTACCCCCAATCGAGCATAGGCCGCCCACCAGTTTTCTCCAACCAACTCTGTCTTGGGCTTCCCTCTCCAGTTCTGTCCAATGTTTGTTCATTCCTCTCGTATCTTTCTCTATTTTTCGACGTTATGTGTTACTTGGCCTTCCTCTTTGCCTTTTGCCATGAGGGTTCCTAGTGAGGACTAGTCTTGTGACGCAGTTTGATGCTTTTCGTAATGTGTCCTATCCACTTCCACCGCTTCTTCCTCATTTCCTCTTTCACTGGAATCTGGTTTGTTCTCTCCCACAGTTTGTTGTTGCTAATGGTGTCTGGTCAGCGAATCCGAAGTACCTTACGTAGACAACTGTTAATGAACACTTATATCTTCCGGATGATGACTTTCGTAGTTCTCAAAGTTTCCTTCTCATACAGTAGAACTGTCTTGACCTGGATGATTCCAGGTGAAAGCCTTTCTTGTGATATAGTCAGTTGGATGATTTCTTTAATGAGTCCTATCCATTTACTTCGCTTATTTTCATCTAACTATAAATACTTATTCATACCTAACTTCATATAGTTGTCTCGTTTGCCTTATCCACATGACTTCACTTCTCTTTGCTTGTGAACACTTTTCATTTTAATGTTTGTCTGCTTAAATGAATGCATGAACTAAATTCATTCACGAAATTGTATTTGACTTGTTTGTACCATCATTGCACAAGCCAACTTAGCCTAAGTATGTGATGATATACGGAAATGGAAAGGAAGGGGAAATTTATTTTCTCATCACGTACTCAATCATTCATTCAACTTACTTACTTACTTACTTTCGCCTGTTGCCCCCAATGGAGCATAGGCCGCCCACCAGTTTTCTCCAACCAACTCTGTCCTGGGCTTCTCGCTCCAGTTCCAGGTACCTAAAAAAATGGTTGCTCTGGTTGTCAGAACAGGCATCGGCCCCGTGACTTCCGAGGGAACTCGGCTTTCATCACGAGACGTCATAATTCTTCTTCCAACTCCCAGAGCAGACTTAAAATGGTTTGAATTATTTTTTCTGGTTAGCATTTTTTTTGGCAAGTGAGATTTTGACGGAATGGGGTCGCCAACCCCATGTCCAACTCTCCTCCTTTATCCGGGCTTGGGACCGGCAGTAGCCCCTAAGGTTCTACTGGCGGAGTCTTATTCATTCAAAGTGATGTCAAATCATGCGCCACTAAACTTTTATTGACCAATTAAAACAATTATCTTGTTTTGATTAAAAGAAACAGTTGTAGCATATATATATATATATATATATATATATATATATATATATATATATATATATATATATATATATATATATATTTAACTCACGATGATCCTGAACGATATCCAGTTTTAAACATGATCTCTTCTTCAGTTGGTGGTCTCAAGGAAAGTGTTTTTGTACAATCTGCATCACTTATGGTTAATTCAAAATCTGAACTCAATGAGATATTCACCCTGCCCAAATTAATGTACATTTCTCCTAAATTATCATATTTTACAAAATTGAAATTTATTAGTAAAAATCAAATGAATTTGAATACAACATGAATAATGTTAATGAATATGCTCTGAAAATTTGATTATGACCAATTTGGTCTCGCATGCTGTTAAGGGTATGAGGGTAGTTATCACTTTCCGGATACCCACACCGTGGAAGGGTGTATCTTAAGGGTCCTGAAAAAGAAGGTAGATTAGTGTTGGTCCTAACGATCTGAGTGCGTGACCGCAGAGTCCAAGGGACAACTGCTTGAGGCCGGTCACACACGGCCTTTTTATGAAAGGTTTTTTGAGTGGTAGCTCGGCTCTTAAAGGCCCTTAGTGTGTACCCTTACCAACGGAGACGGAAATCCGTGATGTAGGGTGAGGTGTGACATTTTAAGGGTCGAACTTTTCTAACACTACCCTCCTTGTGAGAAGGCAGCATCGCTGCAGATGCTGGTTGTCTGAGGGAAACACCTTACTGCTGTCACACCACTCTGCAATCAGCAGTACGACTTCGCCATCAGACCTGGAGTAGCTGCTTTTAGTCTCATCGCTCTCCAATCGACCTGCCTGGCATGGTAGAACATTCAGAAACATAAGTTCCAGCCAATATAGCTCGGTTGGGTCATGACGATTGGCAAGCCCGACAACAACGTCAAGGTAGCAGCTTCGGTCGTGCTCGATTGGCTTTTGCTAACCTGTGTCACCTATGGTGCAGGCGAGATATCCGTTTGCTAACCAAAGGACGAGTGTACTATGTAGCACTTCGCTCTGTCCTACTATATGGCTGTGAAACATGGCCGTTAAGACTAGAGGACTTCCGTAGGTTACTAGTCTTCTATCATCGGTTTCTCCGAAGCATTGCTCGTGTATCATGGGACAACCGTATAAGCAATGCCGTCGTTAGCAATTAAGTTCTAGGTAAGGATGGCAAATCAATAGATGAAGTAGTGAAACTTCATCAGTTGAGGTGGTTAGGACATGAGTTACGTATGGCTAACTACTGACTGCCTAGGGGCGGCCAGACCCAAACATGGCAGAAACCCATGAAGTCACTGACAAGTGGACTGAGTTATGTTGGTAGATGTAGGTTACCTGGTTGGGGTCCGCGAGACGATAGTCACTGATGGTTAGAGACCTTGAATGACATGGCTCAGAATCGTTTGCGATGGCGCAGGTCCATCCACTCTTTGTGTTCTCTCTAATTTTAATCTTCAGAATTCCTCATAATCTCTATCTTTCTCCTTCTAAATTTATCTTACTGAATTATACTTCTCGAATCATATCTTTGCTCCCTAATCTTCTCCATTACTGCTAATACTTCTACTATCACTATCACTCTTGGATTTGAAGTGACATTTGCGTCTCTGTGCTAATGCGGTTTGGTAACATGAACTGATGTACTTACGTACGAAGTTCTGCGTTGTATCTGTCTGTTTGTTCTGAAAATTTAATAGACGAAGTCAACAAACCTACATAATATAATTCAGTAGTTATTTATGGGGTTATTTGGCAACTAGATGGACTTGCCTCGTGCCACATTCTGCTGATTTCTGTAATACGTGTTCATGTTATCTGTTATCACTTTATCATTGCAAATAAGAATAAAATCAACTTATTATATCATACTAGTGCAGAAAAAAGCAAATCAACATGAAATAAAACACTTACCGGAATCACCAAATCTTATTGGCGCCAAAAATGTATACGCTTCAACGTTCACTGTCCATAAAATAACTATAGTCACACTTAATGTGATTAAATGTGATATCATTTCTAAAAGTTGCCTATTCATAAAAGAAAAAAATATTTTTTTTATTAATTTGATAACGTGAAAATAAAATAACATCATGATCTAGATTGACATTGTTCAATTATCAATGACTTAATTTAACAAATTGGTTGCCGAAAATTTAATTTTAAACTGTATGTAACCTATAAGAAAAATCACACAAGTTTGGAATAATAAATTAACTTGATCAAGATATTGTTTTATATTTTGAATGTGGTGAGACATATTGCAAGACAATTTATTTATTTTCAGAATGTTTTTGATTTAGTGTTTGGGTTTTATTGCTTTAACAAGTGAATTTATTTTTTAGAGTAAAGGATATTTTAAATGGGATAATACTGTAGTAAAGAGAACACAGGTGGGGCAACCGAATTGTATTAAGCGAAAATTACAGAGTTACTGAGTAAAATTGGAAAACCATATCGTAAATCGTTAATTTGCAAATTATCAGTCCATCCTATCGAACTGGACTGTTCCTGTTGCCAAACATCAATCCATTGTCACTATTCATGCGTTTCATACAAATTACATTGTTTTCTAACTCTCCTTTTCTTGATCTTCCGCAAACTTCTGCTGCCAGACATTACATTGACGCTCACGTCATATACTACTTATAAGTAGCTCACACCACACTACCTCTAACTCACATTTCATATGGTTGAAAATTGAAAATTTCGTTATTGTGAAAAAAAAATCATTATCTGACATGAGACAAAGGGTTAGAAGAGTGTTTGAGTCTATTTGAATCAAGTTAAGCTGCATCTCTTGCTATCCTATGCCATATGATGAGTATACCATATGCTATACTGCTATACAGAGTTATAGGGTTTCCTATGAGACAAGAGGTTCATTGTGAACATTGTGGATGGTTTGGTGTGGCTTTGGCAAGTATTGCTAACAGTTCATATACTAAACTGGTTTGCAAGGTGACCGATTTCATTGAATACTGATGGTGTTTTGCAACATTCTCGAAGGCCATTGTCATTGGGGTGCTTTATTGCATGTCACCACTGATAATAATAATGAGTTTGACTGTCGTGTAGGCGGAATGGGTCGAATTGACCTGTTCATGCTGTGCATGTTCACCGACGCGATCATGGATCGGAAATAATCACTAAATATTTACTAGTGTATATAAATGGTATGAATGGCCCACCAGGGTGTCAGGAACGTGTGTGGTTGCACCACGAAATTGAGTCACACTGTTTATGTTGAAATTTCAACCGTGGATTGTCTTCTTGGTTTATATGAAAACCAATGTAAAATTACCCTTGACAATAGAGAGTTAATTTACATAAATATGAGTTGTGAAAATTGGATATTTTAAATTAAAGTTAGTGTAATAGTTTATCGATTGCGCCTGGAGCTTCTCTGAAGCTACTGCCGGTCGATAGCTTGGAAAGAAGAGAACGGTTGGACATGGGGTTACCGTACCCATCCCGTAGAAAAACAACTTGCTAAATCAACGCGAACCAGAAGAAAGGATTCAAACGATTTAAAATCTGCTCAGGGAGTTGGGATCTCTTCATTTAGAAGAGTTATGACGTCTCAAGATGAAAGCCAAGTTTATTCGAAAGTGACAAGGCCAATGCTCCTTCTGGCAACCAGATCAATCATTAATTCAGAAGCATCGTATGTTTGCTTCTCTTTGTCCTGGTGATTGACTGGATTATGAAGACGTTGACATCTGGAGGAAAGCACGGTATCAACTGGACAGTTGGGACGCAGCTGGACGATCTGGACTTCGCAGATGACCAGGCTCTTCTATCGCACACGCAACAACAAATGCAAGAGAAGACGACCAGTGTAGCAGCAGCCTCTGCAGCAGTAGATCTCAACATACATAAAGGAAAAAGCAAAATTCTCCGATGCAAAACAACATGCACCAACCAAATCACTCTTGATGGGGATGCCTTGGAGGACGTTAACACCTTTACATATCTTGGCAGCATCATCGACAACCAAGGTGGATCCGATGCAGATGTGAGGGCAGGGATTGGCAAAGCTAGGGTTGCATTTCTACAATTGAAAAATATCTGGAACTCCAAACAACTTTCAACCAAAACCAAAATCAGGATATTCAATACAAATGTGAAGACAGTTCTACTGTATGGAGCGGAAACTTGGAGAACTACCAAAGCCATCATCCAGAAGATACAAGTATTGATTAACAGTTGTCTACGCGAAATACTTCGGATTCATTGACCAGACACCATTAGCAACAACAAACTGTGGGAGAGAACAAACCAGATTCCAGTCGAGGAGGAAATCAGGAAGAAGCGGTGGAAGTGGATAGGAGACACACTGCAGAAAGCAGCCAACTGTGTCACAGGGCAAGCCCTCACATGGAACCCTCAAGGAAAAGGAAAAGAGGAAGACCAAGGGACACATTACGCCGAGAAATAGAGAAAGATATGAGAGGAATGAACAAAAATTGAAGAGAACTGGAAATGGAATCCGAGGACAGAGTTGGTTTGAGAAAACTGGTTGGCGGCCTATGCTTGATTGTGGGTAACAGGCGTAAGTAAGTAAGTAAGTAATCGTATGTTTGCACAATGTGTTAGACCGAGAAAGTTATCCAAGTTTCTGCAGAAATGAAAAGATACAACTTGAAGCTGCTCACAATCATATTTGTCTCCATTTCTCTGGATGATGTGTTCTTTGGTCTCCAAACGAGAAAAACAAAGACCAAAATACACATAACACCGAGAACTGGAGACAGATATCAGAAGAATCAACAATAGTTGAACAGAACTAGAAAGGAAGCCTTTAGGATAGAGTAGGTTGGAGAATACTGGTCAGTGGCCTATTCACCGTTTGGGAACAGTAGTAACAGTAGTTTATGATTGACAGCGTAAATATCATATTATTTTTCTGAAATAGGAATCATGGACAAATCATTCATAATAAGAAATCACATGAAGTTGACCCTGATAAATGTTTGTTTTCTTACTTGATTATTTCACACCATGATCAATGTCACATAAGTTTGTTTGGTTGTATGAGATTACATTTAAACAAATAATAATAATAATCATTCATTTAAATTTATTCAATAATGTATATAACTACTAACTACATAAACAAAATAAAAACTTTTTACAAAATTCTCATCACAAAAACAAATTCCATAGTTTTCAATGATCAATTGTACAGCATAAATCAATTGATATAAACAAATACCAGTGTAAAAACAAAACTATTTCTATCTACTACACTCCATTTATTTAATATTACAGTATTTTTTTTTAAAAAAAAATTCAATCCATCTAACGTTAACTAATCAAATCAAACCAAAATATGAGTGTAAATTTAATTTGAAATATAAGATTGGTAATTGAATACAACAGAATGCGTGTTTTATTGCATTTATGACTTGTCAGTCGAATGTACATGTATCTCTTAAAGTTGATCCTACTTTAAACACCAATACCCATTACACACTTACTTACTAAAAGTCTATTGAATGTGAAACTGTAATTCAATTCATTATGATTTAAAATTACGCGGGTGTTTTTATAAATTGATTGAATATTGATCTCTCTCTCTCTCTTAGTTGGCATCCACGCATCGGCTGGAAATTCTATCAATACAGTTTTTAACTTCACAATTTTATATTAGAATAGATTGAATGTCAGATAAATCCAACTGAAGTGTTGCAACATTTTACACCAACTAAACACAAGTCAATCAAATTTTAAAATAGCGACAGACTTATCACACAAATGAATGAATATTTGGAGTTTGTAAGTAAGTTGGTAACGCAGGTGGCATTTAAAAAAAAAAAAACTTTTTTAAGTTCATATTAAATGAGAAGAAGTTGCATCATCCAGAATATACAAGTATTGATTAACAGTTGTCTACGCGAAATACTTCGGATTTGCTGACCAGACACCATTAGCAACAACAAACTGTGGGAGAGAACAAACCAGATTCCAGTGAAGGAGGAAATCAGGAAGAAGCGGTGGAGTTAGTGGATAGGACACACACTATGAAAAGCACTTAACTGCGTCACAAGACAAGCCCTCAAGGCAAAAGGAAAAGAGGAAGGCCAAAGAACACATTACGCCGAGAAATAGAGAAAGATATGAGAGGAATGAACAAGCATTGGACAGAACTGGAAAGGGAAGCACAGGACAGAGTTGGTTTGAGAAAACTGGTGGGCAGCCTATGCTCGATTGGGGGTAACAGGCGTAAGTAAGTAAGCATTTAGAATGAAGCTCATATCCTGTATTGTACTTTAATTCTCAATTCCTCTATTATATTGTATTAGATATAGTCTTTAAACTATGCTATACTGTTTGTAATTGATATACCTTCATCTGAATTACTTCGATCTATATATATTCATTTATAGCGAACCCTTTACATTTTCATTGAATTTACGAACTAGTCAATGTTAGAACAGCATTAGAAACTTGTGGCTGTTTTGTCTTAGCATGGGACCCACCACCAGTGTGCATCCACGACTCTCGCTACTCGCAGGAATCGAATACAGGAGAATTCGGTCTTGCGAGCGAACTTCACTCAATCTAAAATACTGCATGACCCCAAGCATTTTCCTCAGTGGAGAACCGCTTTACACCTGACAAGGTTGAACTACTTTTCATTTTACTCATTCATTATATAATTTCACATGATATTATAAGTCTTAACCCAAGTTGTTTGTAAACTAGATGTTGATGATAAGATTAAAAATTGATTCGTTTGTTAAATTTCAGATCAATATAGAATGGATATTTACTCATGAAAGGATAAATTAAATTCACAGCCTCCTCATAAGGGATTTTAAACGATGTCTTATGCATTTGTTATCAAGAATTTCTACACTAGAAAAATATTGAAATTATGGAATAATTATTCCAAATATCTATAGTCTCTTGTTTGAATAAATAATTTGACAAGAATTATTTTAAACCATTTAGTAGAATTTTGGTTGAGCATAAACTCCGTTTTTGATTGTCATTTGGAATCGATCAAAATCAAACAGGAATTATTATTTTCATTTCAAACCTTCTATATGATGAAAGAATCATTGTTTAACTACCTACGAATAGAAAGATGACTGCTATTTCATAGTATGTGAATCATTAACAGTCAGTCAGTCAGTTGCAACATAGAGCTTTGTACGTATGTACATTAGCTAAGGTTACCATACCACATTAGCACAGAGACGCAAATGTCAAATCAAATCCCATAGTGATAGATATAGTAGAGGTATTAATGGTAATGAAGAAGGACTAGGGTTTGAAGATATTATTCAAGAAGTATAATTCAGTGAGATCAGGTTAGGAAGACAAAGGTAGAGGTGCTGACGAATCCAGAAGATTAGGATTTGAGAGAGCACAACGAATGGATGCACTTGCGACATTGCAAACGATTTTGAGCCATGTCGTTGAAGGTCTCTAACCATTGGTGACTTTCGTCTCGCGCACCCCAACCAGGTAGTCTACATCTATCGACATGACTCAGTCATTAACAGTGTGCATCCATGACTCCTGCTACTTGCAAGAACCGAACACAGGACCTTTGGTCTTACAGGCGAATACTTAACCTCCAGACCACTCAGTTACCATCCACTGGTGTTCATGTCTAACTTTAATCAATCTAAGATTTTCTGTCACCTTCTACTATTCATAATACGCATAATAAAATTTTATTCACAGAAAACTGTAAACACATTGAAACTTTACAGACATGTCACATGAAAAGCAGTGAATAAAACAAGACTATAAACGATTAACCATATCATAAAAAAAGCAATACATTCATTAATAACCTACTCGCAATCTAATCAACCCGAATATTATTATGTCTAGTAGTACTACTACTACTACTACCAAATAACAGTTTACCAGACATTTTTATACAATTGATCACTGAACCGAAAAACAAAAAAAATTACAGTAATTACAAATCAACCAATCATCTATCTATCATAACAAAAAAGGATTAAAACCATTACCTTGTTTTAATGAACTGCATGTCACAGATAACATTGTTTGTGACACTGCCTACAATGTTATAAGCATTGAATGGTCATGTAAAACAATTTTTTTTTGTTATGTTGAATGGATTAAAAGTTTAATTCGTAATTGATTTTTTTTTGATGATTATTTAAAAGTGAATGTGATTACGTAACTGTTGGGGTGTTCTTAGCGCGTTTATGGTGTGTTTAATGTTGAATAACTTCCATTCGTCTAGAAGTTAGGCGTCCGCGCACAAAACCGAAGGTCTAGGGTTCGAATCCTGGGAACTGCAAGAATCATGGGTGCGCACTGCTGATAAGTTTCATGCCAGGATGAAACGCCCCCTTCTCTTTCAGTGTCTCTAGGTTTCTAATAGTGGTCTAACATTGATCGATTCATGATTTCAAAAGCATAATAATAATTAAAACAGAAATATCTACAAATTAATAATATTTCACCTTCGCTGTAACTTGAAATACCCCTGCCTAGAGCCTTTCTGGGGCTACTGCCGGTCCCAAGCTCGGATAAAGGAGCAGGGTTGTCCTGTGTGGTGGGTTAGCGACCCTACCCCGTAGAAAACTGACTCTCTGAAAAACAACACTAACCAGCAAAATAATTTGAAATGATAACGCAATAAATCGCTTGATAAATGCCTTAATTTGGATTTTATGTTTCCGGGCATGGGCTAATCAGTTGACCTTGAGATCGCATTTCCCGCCGGGAAAAGCCTTCGCTGTGATTGGCTGCTGTGTTTTTATAGTGTGCAATTTTTGTGACTCTCCGAAGGACGTTTCTATGATGTATAAATAAACGAGATTTGTGTGCTTGAATGCTGTGTGTTTGTAGAATACAATTTCTACGCTATATTAAGACTTTTGTTAGTTATCAGATCAGGGTAGCCTACCTAGACGCTGGTTCATTGTCTCGTTCTCGTTTATCAACTAAGTTGAACCCATAATAGTTTCAACCATACCCGGTTTCGAAACTAACAAAAATAAGTTTATCACATCATGATATAAAAAAAACAGCAAAACATTGGAATCAATGATGATTTAATGAAACGGGTGTAATGTTATCACTGCTTCCTTATTTTTAGAACACACATAAATTTGATGCCCAAAGCTTAAGCAAGTTCATTAATAACAGTTTTATTAAATTGCATTGAAACACTTCACTACATCAAGTATTGTGATGTGAAAATTGTGAAAATCGCGCACAATATCGAAGGTCCCGGGTTCGAATCCTGCCAGGTGCTGGAGTCGTAGATGCGGTGGTGTTGTTTGGTTCTTCTGAACAATGAAAGATCCACAACCAAAACAACATCCAGCTCAGAGAACCAAACACCACCACCGCAATCATCCACCTGAACTGCAAATCTTCTCCACCGTCGTAGATGGGCACTGCCATTGATGAGTCCTATATCAGGACGAAACGGTCTCCTTTTTCAGTGCTTCCAAGTTTCTAATGCTGGTCTAACAATGATTAATTGATGATTTATAAATGTGTAAATGCACTAATCTCCATAACTCTAATTCGAAAAAGTTTCATTGAAAATCATGAACTATTGTTTTGCTTTAATCAGTTTGACCTCTGACCTTTTGTAATATTGTAATAGAAATCAAACAAATGATCTTTTGTTTTGTGTGTTATACCACTATAACTGCTTTGATACATATTTTCATTTGACTATTTGAAATTGTGATAAAAAAAAGATTTTTAAATTTCACATTGGTTTTCGAAACACTGAAGCATAAATATCAGATAGAATATTATATTGACCTGAATTCACTTACAGAATAGTTTTATACTGGAACTCATGTTATGTTATATTATGTTACGTGATAAAACCCAAAAACACATTCATCATTCTGAAAAAAATTATAAGTACACTTTAATGAGTTTTAGATTTCCTCAGGGCGCATCTGAAATAAAACTAACATTTAGAACACAGATACATAAAGATGAGTCCCAATGGAGTTCAATCCTGACAAATGTAGGCAAGAACTACCAAAGACAAAATGGGTGAGGTCGCGCAATATCTCTAGATTGATAAGAGTTTGACATTTACACCGTTGCATACCAACTCAGTGGTCCAGGGGTTAGGCGTTTGCACGCGAAATCGAAGGTATTGGATTTCAAACCTGTGAGTAGCAAGAGGCGTAGATGCTCAGTGTTGATAAGTCCCATACCAGGAGGAAACGTTCATCTTTCACTGTTTCCAGTTTTCTAATGGAGGTTGTCTAACAATGATCGATTCACTTTTCATTATTAGATGAATCCTCTTCAGTCTTTATGAATTTCAATAGTTCGTTTGTGCAATATATTGTACTGAAAAATAACAGATTCCCTTTATCCTTTAGTAAGTTAGAACAGTGAAATGTTTCATGCTGATAACTTTGTTCAGAAAAACTATGACCTAAGCATCCAGCTCAGAGAATGGAACTCGATTATTACTATCTATTTTTATCCTACCTAACTTCATAGGTGATGAAATATCTGTGAGAGTCGATTCTGGACAAGGAGCGGAATTGAAACGGACCTATCCATTTTCAAATCTTTCATCAAAAACAAACTGCTTGTTGTAACATTTAAAACACAGAAAAAAAATACTCGCCATACATTACTTACAATAATGTCTACTCATTACGACGTACATTTTGAAGCACATGAATTGGAGAATCAACAGTGGTATCTCATGGTGCATTTTTTAGAAACTAAGACGAGATCTATTGCCATTATTTTGATTGCAGACCACAATCTTCAGTAGTTCGTGTAGTAGTCGAACTCAGGACCTTTGGTTTCGCATGTCAATATTTAACCTCTAAACCGATGAGCCGGCATCAAACAGTATTAAGGTTTAATTTCACTCAGTCTAAGATATTGCACAACTTTACTCAATGTCTTCCATGGTTGCTGCCTGCGTCCGACAGGTTTGAACTCTACTGACGATAGCTCCTCACTAGAATTCCGGTAAATTCCCCATGAGGCTAGTCACTAGTCAGTATACTGGGTGAAGTTCTGTGAGGTTTAGCAGTACCTCGTTTATCATGATATCTTCTGAGTAGAGATAAGAAGATATGCTCAGATAGAATCAATGGACAAGGAACTATATAGTTATTGAATAACATGTTGACTGAAATGAACGGTCCATTGTGTTTTCAGAAGAAATATATTTGTACCTGTATAGTGAACGGTAAAGTAGTGCCATCAGTGATTGGAAAGTAAATGCTCTTTCTGAAACCACAAGCCAACTGATATAGTGCTTTAGATTTACTAAGATTTATTAAGTGAAAATTTATTTTCGTGGTTAGAAATGGTATGATTGAAATAATAAATAGCTTCTTACTAACTTACACCTGTTACCCTCAATGGAGCATAGGTCGCTGACCAGCATTCTCCAACCTACCCTGTCCTGAGCTTTCCTTTCCAGTTCTGTCCAATTTTTGTTCATTTTTCTCAGGTTTTTCTCTATTTGTTGGCGTAATTTGCTTCTTGACCTTCCTTTTGTCCTTTCACTTTGAGGGTTCAAAGTGAGAACTTGTCTTGTGACGCATTTGGGTGTTTTCGGCAGTGTGTATCCTATCCACTTCTAACGTTCCTTCTGATTCCTTCGTCTGCTGGAATCTGATTTATTCTTTTGTACAGAAGGTTGTTGTTGATTGTGTATGGCCAGCGAATCCGAAGTAACTTGCGTAGACAACTGTTAATGAACACTTGAATCTTCTGAATGATAACCTTCGTAGTTCTCCGAGTATTCACTCCATACAGTGTAGTGAAGGAGAACACAGGTGAGGGCAACCGAATTGTAGTTATCAAACATTACAGAGTTAATTGGTAAAATAGGAAAACCATATCGTAAATCGTTAATTTGCAAAACATCAATCCATTGCCTGACATTTCACTGTTCATGCGTTTCATACAAATTCCATTGTGTTCCCACTCTTCCTTTCTTGATCTTCTGCTGCCAGACATTACGTTTTCACTCGCGTCATATACTGCTTATAAGTAGCGCGCACCACAACAGTAGCACTGTCTTGGCACATGTATTGAAAATTGTGACTTTGGTGTAGGTTAATAGTTGTGTGAAGTTCCAGATGTTCCTCATATGTAGAAATGCTATCCTTGCTTCGCCGATCCGCGCCTTCCCGTCGGCATCAGATCTATCTTGTTCATCAATGATGCTGCCTAACTATGTTAAGGTTTTTACATCTTTTAAAGCCTCTCCATTTGGTGTGATTTCGTTGGTGCATGATATGTTATATAGGAGAATTTTGCATTTTTCTTTATATATGTTGAGACTACTGCTTCTGAGGATGCTGCTACACCGGTTGCTTTCTCTTGCATTTATAGATGTGTCCGGAATAGAAGAGCCAGATCTTCTGCGTTGTAGTTGTCCACTCTATGCCGTGCTTCCCTCCAGATATTGCTACCTTCATCATTCGATCGATCACCAGGAGAAAAAATAAAGTGTGAGTGTAAGCAACCTCGTCTGATACAGTTCTTCACTTGGAAAGAGTCTGTCATCTGTCCTCTGACGCACAATTTCTCAGTTTAATCCATCATAAGAGTTCCGTATGATGTTGACGATCTTCTCAGGCACTCCGTATTGTCGAAAATGTTCTGTTCACGTTGTCAAAAGTTTTCTCGAATAAATACGTTTGCTCATTCACAGTTTATCGAAAACGGCTATGTAGTAGAGAGTTAAATTAGACTATTTTACAGTAATTTATCATATACTTACTACACTTTGAATGAGATTCAGTCTTGTCTCCTATACATATCAGGAGCTATAGGGATATGAGCTGATAACGGGTGTAGAAATCAGTTAAGACAAAAGTTCATCTTTTATTTTGTTGAAAACAAAAGTCTTTATATCTTTTTATCATTTAGAAGTAA